ATTGTCTGTCTAAAACAGGTCTCTCGTGAAAATGAGTCCTTGTGACTCAATGAGACTAACCTGTATAAATAAAGGTAAAAAAAAGGGTAAATATGAGATCTAAATCAGTTAAGAGATAAAAAAAATATATAGACTAAGCCATAATGGTGAGGAAATTAAGTCAAAGTTGTGAAATACTAAAATAATGATATAGAGATGCTGGTCATAAAATTAGAATATCATGAAAATGTATTTTACTGTTCATGATTATAACCGACAAAAAAAGAAAACCCCAAATTCAGTATCTCAGAAAATTAGAATATTGTGCAAAGGTTCAATATTGAAGACACCTGGTGCCACACTCTAATCAGCTAATTAACTCAAAACACCCGCAAAGGCCTTTAAATGGTCTCAGTCTAGTTCTGTACACGATCATGGGAAAGACTGCTGACTTGACAGTTGTCCAAAATACGACCACTGACACTTTGCACAAGGAGGGCAAGACACAAAAGGTCATTGCTACAGAGGCTGGCTGTTCACAGAGCTCTGTGTCCAAGCACATTAATAGAGAGGTGAAGGGAAGGAAAAGATGAAAAAAGTGTACAAGCAATAAGGGAAAACCACACCCTGGAGAGGATTGTGAAACAAAACCCATTCCAAAATATGGGGGAGATTCACAAAAAGTGGACTGCATCTGGAGTCAGTACTTCAAGAACCACCACGCACAGATGTATGCAAGACATGGGTTTCAGCTGTCGCATTCCTTGTGTCAAGCCACTTTTGAACAAGTGACAGCGTCAGAAGTGTCTCGCCTGGGACTGCTGCTGACTGGTCCAAAGTTACGTTCTCTGATGAAAGTAAATTTTGCATTTCCTTTGGAAATCAAGGTCCCAGAGTCTTGGAGGAATAGAGGAGAGGCACAGAATCCATGTTGCTTGAGGTCCAGTTTCCACAGTCAGTGATAGTTTGGGGGGCCATGTCATCTGCTGGTGTTGGTCCACTGTGTTTTCTGAGGTCCAAAGTCACTGCATCTACCAGGAAGTTTTAGAGCACTTCATGCTTCCTGCTGCTGACCAACTTTATGGAGATGCATATTTCATTTTCCAACAGGACTTGGTACCTGCACACAGTGCCAAAGCTACCAGTACCTGGTTTAAGGACCATGGTATCCCTGTTCTTAATTGGCCAGCAAACTCACCTGACCTTAACCCCATAGAAAATATATGGTGGTATTATGAAGAGGAAAATGTGATACACCAGACCCAACAATTCAGAAGAGCTGAAGGTCACCATCAGAAAAACCTGGGCTCTCATAACACCTGAGCAGTGCCACAGACTGATCGACTCCATGCCACGACGCATTGCTGCAGTAATCCAGGCAAAAGGAGCAACAACTACTGTAAATATTAAGTGTTGTACATGTTCATACTTTTCAGTTGGCCAACATTTCTAAAAATCCCTTTTTTTGGGGAGGGTCTTACCGTACCGTAAAGTACTCGGGTATATTTGTGATTTTAAAATCCTAAAAATGAGACAAAGTCAAATAAAACCAAATCTTGGTGTTATTTTTGATCAGGATATGTTTTTTATCCCCCACATTAAAAACTTTAGAACCACCTTCGTAATATCACTAACATTAGAAACATCTTATCTAAAAATGATGCCCAAAAACTGGTTCATGCATTTGTCACGTCTAGACTGGACTATTGCAATGGTTTATCTGGGTGTCCAAATACTTATTTAAAAAGTCTCCAGTTGATCCAAAATGCTGCTGCCAGAGTTTTAACTGGAGTTAGTGGGAGAGATCATCTCTCTCCAGTTTTAGCTTCTCTCCATTGGTTCCCTGTCAAATCCAGAATAGAATTCAAAATCTTACTTCTAATCTACAAAGCTCTCAACAACCTAGCTCCATCTTGTATTCAAGATCTTATTGTTCCATATTTTCCTAAAAGAGCACTTTGCTCTCAGACTGCAGGCTTACTCACAGTTCCTAGAGTTTCCAAAAGCAGAATGGGAGGAAGATCTTTCAGTTCTCAGGCTCCTCTCTTGTGGAACAAACTTCCAGTTTCTGTCCATGAGGCTGACACCTTGTCCAGTTTTAAGACTGGACTTAAGACTTTCCTTTTTGATAAATCCTATAGTTAGGGTTGGCTTGTCATGCTGCTATAGACTTAGACTACTGGAGGACAAACTGACCTAATTTCCTTAAATTAATTGTTAAAATTGAATAGTTTTCATATTATTTCTACCTTAATGCGATTCTTGACCTGCCATTGTGTATCTGTTCCTCTCAAACCCAGCTGGTCGAAGCAGATGACCGCTCGTCCTGAACCTGGTTCTGCTAAAGGTTTCTTCCTCATGTGGGATTTTTTTCTTTCCACTGTCGCCTTCATGCTTGCTCAAGATGAGAGTCTGTGATTGAGTAAAGTTCTAAGCAGTCTGCTCCTCAGATAATTAACATTAACTTTTTTTTTTTTTGTATATGAATGTTTCTGTTCAGTGTCCTGAGACGACCTCTGTTGTGACTTGGTGCTGAATAAATGAACTGAATTGAAATGTAAAACAGCGCCTCGTAATTTTGACTCGTAGGATCAGTTTTTATTTATAACTGCACAAATGTGCAACAATAAAAATGTTCCAAGAAAAAAAAAAAAAGGTTTTCTGAAAGATTGGGTTTCTCTCATCAGCTTAACGAGCACGTTTATCATTCCTGCTGCGAACGAAGAGACGAGAAGGCAGAAGTGTACAAGATTTGATTTATTAACTATGATACAGATCACATAAGGCCTTGCTGTTTACACCATTCCCACCGAGACAAAACGAGCACACTCAGCAAAGGACAGTTTTCATTTCTTTTCACTTTACAGTACTTCATTTCTTTTGTTTTTAATCATTTCAAACCCCCCCCCCCCCACATCATCTCTTACATTTATTAATTTTCGTATCATCTCTTAAATAGTGAGAGTCGGACCCTCCTCCCTCCGTTGAAACATGCACTATAACTGGCAGGTGTCTCAATCATTCACAAAGAAACGGTTAAAAAAAAAAAACAAACGCTCTGTAAATTCTTTATTTTTTATTAAACAAAACATAAAAAGAGAATTTGTTTCGATCACTGCTCTCGACTGAAGGTGGAAGGTGTTGACCCCCCCCCCCACCCCCGACGATAAACAGCCATGTGAATACAGTTCTGCTGGTTCCTCAGCAGACGTCTGTCACCAACGTTGGAACAACAAAAAGTAAAATTAGCTAATATTCCAGCACTGAACCAAAGTCACATTTTTTAATTCATTCATCTAAAATGTCACTTTGCTTCCCATCCCCCCCCCCCCCTCTTTGGCCCCCTCACAGTCATTTCAGTATTAACACATCGATATACAAAAGGGAACGCCACCGGCCGGCGCCCTCACACAAGTACCAGTGGTCACCCCCCTCCCTCCCTCCGTCTCCCGAATAATGATCCCATTCACCCGTAAGCTGTCCATCTTCACCCCCTCCCTCCCTCACTGTCCCCCCACAGTCTCTCTCGCACTCTCTGAGGATCAGTGTGTAATCCAGACGGGGTAAATGACCACAAGAGCAGCTGCATTCCTCCCCGTTCCCGTTAGTTTGGATCATGCTGGTCTGGACGGCTGCCAGACACAGAAAATGACACCCCACCCCCCCACTCGATGAAGTCTCCTGTGATTGGTCGGAAGTTGTTTTGTTCTTGTCGTTTCGGACGACGCGCGCAGGAACGCACAAACTCGGCGGTTCTCCTCCAGCTGCTTCGTTGCTGGTTGCCACGGCAACAGCAGGCTCAATCGAAGAATTTTGTGATGTTCCGCTCCGGTCATGCAGGCGGGGCGGATGAACGAGTGAATGAACGACTGAAAGAAGGGACTGTCTGTTCTCACTCTGTCTGTCTCTCTAACTCCCAGAATCAAGCCGTCTCTTTCGGACTGAGGACTCGGAGAAGTCCGCAGTGACCGTGAGGTGGTCTGACACCAAGTGGCTACACCTGGCTCAAGACTAGTCCAGACATTTAATGATGAGGCACACAGCAGTGGTTTATATGTCTCCCCCCCCCACCCCCCCACCCCCCCACCTGTCAAAACTGCTCTCTTTTCCAAAACACGGTCTCTGGAAAGAGAACGAACTCCGTTACGAAGGTCTGAGTCCACAATGAAGCAAAAACCCAGACAGGAAGTTTCATTTATTCAGCTGCAACGAGGCCAGAGGCATCGCAGGAACAGACTCTGGGTCTTTATCGTCTCCATGATCTGCTCGTTACATCTAAACTACCAGACGTCATTTACTTTTAAATCCATGTGATGCTGTTAAAGGTCAAGCTTGACGATTGCACCATCAAGACGGATGCTACAAAAACCACAGGGGAACGGTGCTACACCCATGCAGTTGTGGAGGTGATACTCCGTTCTTCCACTAGATGGCAGTGGTGCGCTCCCACAGAGAGACAAGAAGGACTGACAGGAAAAGTGGTCGTCACTTTAATGCCTGCTACAATTGGAAATGTGCCTTCAAAGTGCTCAGAAAAGTGCTTGTTTTTTTTTTTTTAAACAACGGTAAAACTGCAGCACCGACTTGCTTCCAAAGAACGGCTGCAGAGTGAAAGAACATGACAGGTACAGGTCCAACGCTGGAAGTGTCCCCACTCACTGTCAAACACCGAGCAGCTCAGGTTAAACAGAGACGACGTCCTACTTTCATACTCGTCGGGTCAGAAAGACCCAAAATATTCTTAAAAATTAACATCTGGAAAAAAAAAAAAAAAAAAGCTAAAGAAGAGCAGAAAGCCCAATTTAGAAAAAAAAAATAAAAACTAATTTAACATTAAGCTTTGTTTTTGTTGAGTGTAAGAACAGAGAAATGGAGGGTTAATGATAGAGCCTTCCCAGAATGCAAAAACACTTGCAGCACCCATAATGCATTGCTCCAATTCAATGCCGAGCAGATCCAGTTCGGTGAGTTTTTTTTTCTTTCTGTGCTTGGCATACTGCCATGACTAAGACTGATTGTGTGTATGTGTGTGTGTGTGTGTGTGTGTGAGAGAGGGGTTGACAGAAAGGAATTTGGAAGTCGCCGGGGACAGAACATCCTGTCGGGTGAGCAGTAAAACGTGTTTCTTGCACAAGTCGTCTCTGTGCAGTGGTGAAGCAAACAAACACGAGCTCTGGACTTGCCTTCCAGTCTCAGGGTTGGAGCAGCAGGTGGGCTGGCCTACAGAACTGGTCCCTGAACCTCCACTGGACGTTAGTGTCATGTATGCAGAAGTGAAGCAGTGGAACAGCGTGCACACACCCGTCATGTTGCACCTCGTAGTTCCTTCCTGCGCCCCGTCAACAACTCTGTGTGGCTGTAAGGCAGTGAGGGCAGGCCTGGATGACGTGTGACAAAAGGATGAAGTGATGGGGAGGGAGGAACATCATACCACCAGTTCAGAGGCTCCTGATTATTCCACATTCCTGGCCCGAGCGCTTGTCCGCTCTTTTTCCCCTCCCCTCCTGAAAGCAGCAGAGGCTCATACGCCTCTGTCTTCTCAGACCCTGCACAAACTGCATCTCTCCCTAATTTCACTTCCTCTCCCCAGTTCCTCCTTTAATCACTTCCTTCAGTCTCATCCTTAACCCTTTAATCACACCACTATCTGCCAGCTTTTTCAATTTTTTAATTTTTTAATTCTCTCGTTCCCTTAATCCCTGGTTCACAGCATGTGTTGTTCAGCTGGGGGGTGATGGGGGTGCAGAGAGGGTGGCAGCAGGGCTGGGATTGGGGACTGGGGAGTCGGAGGTGGGGAATGTGACGGGGACTGATACTGATGGTGGTGGTGGTGGTGGAGAGGAGGACCGTAATGTGGGATGACAGGTGGGATGGCGGGGAGGACGTAAGGAGCCGGGGATGGAGCTGGCGAGGGCGAGTAACCTCCGGCCATGCAGGAGTAGGCGGAGGTGCCTCCCCCGGACAGTGTGGAGTTGGGGGAGCCGGTGAGACCATCGGGCAGGGGCTGATTGTAGAAGAAGAAGGAACACTGGTGGATGAAGCTCTCGATGATTGTCTGGTAGGTGCGGGTGGCGGTCAGAGCATCCATGGTGGTGAAGTCTGGTCTCATGAGGGTGGGCCAGAAACAGATGGACAGATTCTCGCTGGTCATCAGGTTCAACTTGCTGCTCTGGCTCACTCTGAGGAGGAGAACACACAAAAAATAATGATTATTTATGTTAAATTCTACAAAAGAGATGCTCCATGTTTTGATGTTGCACTAAATATTTGCGATTAACCCTCTGGAACCCTTTCAAAACAAAAGTTCTGATCACCTAGACCTGTTCAAGTGTGGTTCTGTGGATGGGTTATGAACAATTAATATCTTACCTGTCGTCTTTGAACAACCTCAGTTTGGAGAAAAACAGACCAAACTGGATCAGTGTCGTCTTAAACAACTTCCATGTTAAACATTTCATAATGAAACATTAAAAAACTGCATTTAAAACTTAAAATGTACAAAATGAATTGCAGATTGTGACATAACCAGCATGTAAAGTTCATCAAATAGTGTTTGTTTGAACTGGAGTGAAGCCTTTAAATTGTAACACTAACCTGCTCAGACTAGCCATCAGCTCGTCCGTCCATTTAACTGAGGTCATTTAAAAACTATTATCTAATGACTATTGCAATGGTTTATTATCTGGGTGTCCAAATTTTTCTTTAAAACGTCTTCAGTTAATCCAAACTGCTGCTGCCAGAGTTTTAACTGGAGTTAGTGGGAGAGATCATCTCTCTCCAGTTTTAGCTTCTCTTCATTGGCTTCCTGTCAAATCCAGAATTGAATTCAAAATCTTACTTCTAACCTACAAAGCTCTCAACAACCTAGCTCCATCTTATATTACAGTTCTTATTGTTCCGTATTTTCCTAATGGAGCACTACACTCTCAGACTGCAGGTTTACTTGTGGTCCCTAGAGTTTCCAAAAGCAGAATGGGAGGAAGATCTTTCAGTTATCAGGCTCCTCTCTTGTGGAACCAACTTCCAGTTTCTGTCCATGAGACTGACACATTGTCCAGTTTGAAGACTGGGCTTAAGATTTTCCTTTTTGATAAATCCTATAGTTAAGGTTGGCTTGTTTTGCTGCTAGAGCTTAGACTACTAGAGGACAAATTGACCTCATTTCCTTAAATGAATTGTTAAAATTAAAGTTTTCATTTGATGCTATTTCTATCATCATGTGATTCTTAACCTGCCATTGTGTATCTGTTCCTCTCAAACCCAGCCGGTCGAAGCAGATGGCCGCTTGTCCTGAGTTTGGTTCTGCTAAAGGTTTTTTCCTCATGAGGGAGGTTTTCCTTTCCACTGTCGCCTTCATGCTTGCTCAAGACGAGAGTTCTGTGATGGAGTTAAATTCAGAGCAGTCTGCTCCTCAGATAAATAGTGCTAACTTATTATTTTTATATATGAATGTTTCTGTTCAGTGCCCTGAGATGACCTCTGTTGTGCTCGTTAAATAAACTGAATTGATCAGTTTACAGCACCAGCGTCAGGGCTCCATTTGGTGCCCACTTTACAGACAGAACCACTGGAATGAAGCCAAACAAAGCAACTATCACAATTAAAAGCTTTCAAATAAGACTAGATTTTCACTCTGGGCGGGGTCGACGCTGCTCCTTTATTCACAGGCCAAACAGCAAACACTCAGTCAAGTGAAGCCAAAAGCAAAACCTCAAACCAAAGACAATTAGTGCTTTCAAAATCCATTTCAACTGACTGGATATTCTCTGGACTCATGTTGGTTTGGTTTCTGAAGAGGTGGTGGGATTTTTTCTTTTCAACACTGAACAGTGTCTGAGTCACAGCAAGGACAAAAAAATAAAAAAATAAAATAAAAAAGTCTTCCTCAAGGATGCTGCCGCCGTTTGCTGCTCAGAGCAGAGGCAGTCAGAGGTGCGTCCACTGCAGGGAGAAACACCCGGCGCTCGCAGTGCAGCAATTGTTGCTAAGTGCTCCTCCAAAACAAAAACAGACTGAAAAGTCCCCAAATCCACATTCAGATTTACTGGTTGAGGGGAACCGAAGCGTGGCAATGATACAGCGCAAAATCCCACGCAATTTTTTTTTAATCCAAATCCGTAATTTGAAAATAAATCATCTACCTGACCACATAGGATTGGAATCTTTACACTAAACCAAAACTATTCCCAGGGTTTAAAAGCTTGCTCTTCTTTGAAAAGGTGCTTATTGCATTTTCAAAAGGGCTTTAAAAAAACGGGCGTAAACCAAACGTCGGTGGCTTTGAACTGTGGCCCAACCTGCCGCAGCAATCCTTCTTGGTTTAGAACGATTCTCCTTAAATCCCAGGATTCTTTAGTGACGAGACCATTTTATGGAGACTAAAGCAAAAATGTTGATGTATTGTACTGACACACCTGCTCTCTTAACTTCTTAAATCTTTTTATGACCTTTAAAGGTTTAGTTTGTTACTTCTAACCTACAAAGCTCTCAACAACCTAGCTTCATCTTATATTACTGATCTTATTGTTCCATATTTTCTTAACAGAGCACTTCACTCTAAGACTGCAGGTTTACTTGTGGTTCCTAGAGTTTCCAAAAGCAGAATGGGAGGAAGCTCTTTCAGTTATCAGGCTCCTCTCTTGTGGAACCAACTTCCAGTTTCTGTTTATGAGGCTGACACGTTGTCCAGTTTAAAGACTGGGCTTAAGACTTTCCTTTTTGATAAATCCTATAGTTAGGGTTAGCTTGGGTTTCCCGAGTTATCCTTTAGTTATGCTGCTATAGGCATAGACTTCTGGAGGACAACTGACCACATTTCTTCACTCTGCTGCTGTCTTTTTTTTTTTCATTTAGCCTTTATTTATCCAGGTTAGTCTCATTGAGCCACGAGAACTCATTTTCAAGAGAGACCTGTTTAGGGAGCACATGGTGGGGGTTAAGGGCCTTGCTCATGGGCCCAGAGTGGGGCGAATGAGGGTGGGGGCAAGTGTGGGTGTTTCACCTACCCCACCCACAATTTTTTTGATGTTGTCGGGGCCGGGGCGTGAACCGGCGATCTTCGGATCACAAGCCCACCTCTCTAGCCTCTGCGCCACCACTCCCCCCTTTACTCACTCTACTCTGCCTGTTTGGATTTCTAATTTTTTCTATCCATCACGTGTTTTTTTTTTTTGTCTTTCTTCCTATAGGGGGTATGTCTGCACATACGCCTTGACCTGCCAATCTGTGTTTGTTCCTCCTTCCTGTTCCTCTCAAACCCAGCCGGTCGAAGCAGATGGCCGCTTGTCCTGAGCCTGGTTCTGCTGGAGGTTTCTTCCTGTTAAAAGGGAGTTTTTCTTTCCACTGTTGCCACTGTGCTTGCTCAGGATGGGAGACTGTGAGAAAGTGAAGAATCATCAAGTCTGCTGGCTTCCTCCCTTAGATAAATAATTTTTACTACGGTAATTGGCTTTTATAGGTATGTGAATGTTTTTGTACAGTGCCCTGAGATGAATTCTGTTGTGATTTGTCTCTATATAAATAAACTGACTTGTAATTGGGGAGAATAGATGTCTTTATTGTCGCTTGTTGCCATGACAGATAGGTGATGCTGTAACTGCTGGTGTCTATATGTCTTTCAAATATCTCGTGAACTAAAGGACACATTTTATAGATTAACATCTACAGCTGAATACCTTTTGGAGTCAACTTGATTCAAGATGGCTCCCACAGAGCAGCAGCTTTGGTAAACACAAAAATGCTGATAACTCTGTCATTTTTTAAATAGCTGAGCTAAAGTTTGGCGGGTTAGTAGCCGATAGTGATCCCCATCACATACTCGGAGCCAACAGATGGTGTGAGGATTAAAACATTGGCACGTAAGGCAGCAGGAAATATGAATTTAGTTTTCTTTAATTCAAGGTTTTATTTAAATAGTTTTAACGGCCACACAACACATGTTGTCAAACATAAAGCTATCCGCTCTAATCAGTTGTACAATCTCTTCAGTATTCATAAATTACTAACGTACTGTGACTCAACCTGATTATAAACCTCAGCGAGGCCGTTTCAGAGATAATATCACCCACGGGTCACTTCACAGGGCGACCAGCGGTGCAGTCAGCGCTCATCGAATCCCATCACTCACTTGTTCAGATGGCTGATGACATATTTGAAGAGCTCGTAATTCTCCTTGGGAAAGCGTCGCAGGATATCCTTCATCGCGTGGAAGCGCTGCTCCCGATCGTTGATCTCTGAGCGAAGGTAGAGAGAGAGATGTCAGGTTAGAGACGGCGGAGGAAAAGAGGCTGAAAAGACAGATTAGAGGACTCTGAGGAAAAGCTGTCTGGGGAGTAAAAAAATAAATAAATAAAAATAACAAAAGGAGCGATGGAAAGTACAAGCGAAAACAATAAAAAGGGAAGAATTTGAACGAGCATCGGGGAGGCAAATAGTTTGAACTTTCTAATAATCTGGGCTGGACTGAGGAATTTCATCCCAAAAAAAAACAAAAAAAAAAACACAACATCATTTAATTTAAAATGACTCCAAAGTTACACACTGGACAAAAACTCCACGTTCCACTGTGGAAACAACAGACATTAGATTACTGCAGATCACTGCCAAACACACACAGGGTGTGTTAAAGCCTGACGACAACCAGGAATGAGTCAGACGATCTGACGTCACCGGCCAGCACGGTGCAGCCTGCCTGTGTGAGCGAGGCAGAGCTGCAGCGAGAGCAGCAGATGTTCTCCTCCACGTCGCACACACCATTTACAAGCACAGAATCTTGACTTTGTATTCCCACTATGAGATCAGCGTGGATTAGAAACATATTTAGGGGAAGGATAGGTTTACGGAGCTTGGGTTCCTCCTGCTTGAACGTCCATTAACAGCGATCAAAAGGCCACTCCCTGCTCATTTGAAGTAACTTTACTGTGACGAGATCAGTCCAGGCTTTTCCGCCCCTCTGTTTGGTAACTCAGCACCAACTCTGTCAAACCGCTAAAAGATAAATAAATTCAAGAAGTCGTTGGATCTGCCTCCCTTTCCCTTTCCTCCACTCTTTCTGCTGCTGTGGTATAAACTGTGGGAGGTTTATCGGGTCTTTGCCACGGCCAAAGGAGCCGTTACAAACCTCACAGCTCAGCGAGTGACAGTGTGGTGGGTGGGTGAACCTCTCCGGTGCCTTCGTTCCGACAGATTACAGTACAAGAAGGAAAAAAAGAAAAGGAGAAGCAGGAGTTTATTAAACATATTGTCTCATAGCCCCACACCCTTTATCACAAGCCATCGTTTTCTCTGGATGGATTTAGACTGCAGGAGGTTTGCTTGTTGCACCGAAGGAAAGTTACTATTCCAGAAAAAAAAAAAAAGGATTTTGTGTGAGGAATATGGCAGCATGGTGGCTCAGTTGGAAGAGCTGTTGCAAGAAGATCGCCAGGTCAAATCCCGGCCCGGGAACTTTCTGGGCGGAGTTTACATGTTCTCTCTGTGCATGCGTGGGTTTTCTCCTTGTGCTCCATTTTCCTTCCATATAACCAAAAACATGCATGTTAGGCTGAATGGGAACTCTAAATTGTCCAAAGGTGTGAGTGAGAGAGTGAATATTTGTTTGTCTCGTTTATCTCCATGTGTCCCCGTGATGGACTTGGACCTGTCCAGGGTGTCCCCCGCCTCTCGCACAATGACAGCTGGACATGAGCACCAGTGGGCCCCGCAACCCAAAAAGGAAGAAGCGAGTAAAAGAATGGAAGGATGGATGGATGAGGAATACTCCCCACATCCCTGAACCCCCACACCCATCCTCCCAAGACTTACTGAAGGCCTCAACCAGCTCAGTCTGCATGCTGTAGGGCACCAGAGGATCAGGGAGCTCGGAGAAAAAGGCCTTCATGGCGCCTGCGACTGTGTTGATGGTGAAGTCTTTCTCCACCAGGTCCAGATTGTGGTCTACAGGAAAGACAAGTAAAACAAACATCACAACTACTGACAGGAATAACTAAAATACAGACGTCACAACAAGATGTTCTGCTGGGGAACCAAATGTTGTGGCAATAAGGCTCTAATCTAACTGGGCTGCCACTGTTGAACAGCATTTCTGTGAAACTCCTAAAATGTCTTGAAGGTTCACGATGCTCCCTATTTATTTATTTTTTATTGTAATGCAGTCTTGATGCTTCAATTTTAAACATGTTCTGAACATTTTCTAACAAGTTGTATTTTACCACTTGCACAGAAATCCTGAGGCTATAGTCATACAGGTGGGGGCAGATACCAAGGTGGGTACAAATCAAATCGAGGTGAGTAGGACGTGGGCGGAGGTGGGCAAAGAAATAATGTGCATGACCAAGAATACGGTTATGCGAGCCATACACATTAAAATAGGCTGCTTTTATCAAAAGCTGGCCACTCAAAACACACATTATGCTGCACAGAACATGTGTGATGTTGATAAATTACTCCAGCCTCCTTCTCTGAGCCATTAGCCTGACACTTATATATGTCACCAGCCACCTTGGAATTTGACATGGCAACCCAGTTTTCGACAGAAACCGTTCTGAAACTTAGATGCAGCAACACAGCAAAATGCAAGTTGGTACCGCACTTATTTTTCAAGTTATCGTGCTCACAACATTCACAGACTGATGAATGGATGGACGGACGGAGCGTTAATTAATTTCCAATTTCCCCTTTTCACTCTGACCGGGGACAATAACAGTGAAACTTAGGATGTGCATCCTATATATAAAGTTAGTTTCACTGACAAAAGCCCTGAGAGTAAAATCATCACAGCGTTACCTATAAAAGTAGGAACGGGTCATTTTATTGGACATCTTTTTACTTTACACCACCAGGATGAGTTTTAATAAAAGCTATAGTTTGAGGGCTCTTAAAATGTCTTTTAAAAACACCCTTTGTGACAGTTTTCAGGCTCAAGAGCCTCTGGTGCTACTTTCTCCTGAAATAAGTTTTCCAAATCTTCAGGAAGCAGATGAAGAGCAGCTTTCACAGCAGCTCTGCAACACCTGCGCTGCAAGTTTCACCTTTAATTGTCTTGTCCCGCTGGCCCGAGGCTCAGAATGATTCAGTGCAGCTTTTCAACTCTGATTACCTGGGTTGAATTTAACCTCAGCCAAGCGTGGACACACACACATAGGCTATCTTGTGCCACTATCTATCACGACAACAACATGCTTCATTAACCAAACCAATCTGGAGGCAATTAACTGGCCACAGCAGACAGGCGCTCGCATGGAGACACACAGAGCATCTGTACACGTGTCATGATGCACACCGGAGCAGGTAGACGACTGTTGGGGCAGCTCTGCAGTCGAAAAGGAACGCAGAGCCAATTAATCCTACCCGCTTGAGTCGGGGAAATTCTAATAAATAAAATAATATACACTGCAACTTGCTTAAATTAATAAACATGCACATGTCCGTTACTAGGATACACATACATACA